CTCTAATTTTTACACTGTTGTGAAAGGATCTTTGTTTACAATGATTGCAGAGGATAATATTTCCAGCATGGGTAACCATGGCAATGAATAATTCTATTCTTAGGAACTGTGCCAGCTGCACTAATGCCTTATAGTAGCACTCAAGGAGTTTGCTAATGAGGGAATTCTTGTTTATTGTAGGAGGACATTTTCCTGGGTCCACACATTAGCCTGTAGTTTCTTAAAAGCACATTCTTTATCAGTAATACATGGAGGGAAAAAAAACCAAACCAAACCAAGCAAATCTCAGTTACACAGTTCCTCTTGCAGGAAAACATAAGGTTTTCCTGTTTTGTTTTTTTTTTTTTTTTTTTTTGGAAACTGTATCCACAACTGAAGCTCCATAAAAATAAACCTCTGGTTCTTAAATATAAAATTTTAAAGTTGTTACAGGTTAGTTTGCAGATGGATTTTTTATTTTTTTATTTTTTTTTTTCAGAAATAAGTTGCTTTTAACTCCATTTCGAGTCCTCCCAACTGTACATTAAAAACAGACTCAATGAACCTCTTGAAGTGCCTGAGCTAAAGGCACTTAAGAGAAGAGCCAAACTAAAATAACTACAACAAACCCAAAATTATGTACCATCCTAAAGGAAGCTCAGACTAATATGTAATATATACACGCAAAGAAGAGCATGATAAATCATTCAGATTAATGGCAACAATCTTACGTTTCAGAAGGAAATATCAAAATTAGAAACAAACAAACAAACAAACAAAAAAAAAAACCTCTATTGCATATCTGTAGTAATCAAGGATTTTACAAAAAAACCTCATCAGAAGCCGTTTTTTTCCCCCCGAAGTGCATTTCTGTTGCATCGTCTGTAATAACAAGGGTGCATTTTTACAAATTTAAAATATCATCTGTACATACCAGGATATCTCAGCCCAGGGGAACCCACCTGGGGACAGTAAAAATCGCAGACAGTTCCAAGACAATTAAGCTGATATCGACAAAGAAGTAAGGCCATAGCTATTTAACTACAGTAAAGCATTGATTAAGTCACTTATTTGCTACTGATCTGCCACAGTATCATCTTTCTCTTCTGGTTAATAAGTGGGTTACTTTATTTTTATTTTATTTTATTTATTTTTTTTAGCATTTTTAAATTTATTTCTTTTTATTTTTTTTTAAACCTACAGCTAGGACTGCACCATGGTAACTGTGCCAGGCTAATTTAAAAAAACGAAACGAAACGACGAGAGCAGGAATGTAAGATACTATAAAACTAACTCAGTGTTAGAAACCCAAAGAAATAGAACCTTTTTTTTTTTTTTTTTGCACTTTTTTCATCTATCACATGCAAAAAAAAGAATTCCTCCTCCTTTCACTCCCCCAGCAGAAGCACAAGAGAGAGGGGGGGGGTCAATCTTTTCCACGTAATTTGGAAAAGAACTGAACTGGGAAGTGTTTCTGCCTCTACCAAAACTCTGAAAACAAAGTCCCAGCTCCTAAAAGCTGCAAGTCAGGTGGGATTTGCACCTCCTGGGATTTTAAGATCAGCAGAGCAGGACAATTTGCCTTCACATCCCCCCAGGAACCACCCAGAAGGAACCTCTGAGAACTGTTGTCACCTCAAGTGTCCCCTCCCTGGAAACAGGGACAGTTTGAGCTCTGCTGGCACCACGAAATCCAGCAGTGGGCCTGGCTCCAAAGCTTTGCTTTGTCCCAGTTTCCCCAGTCTGGCCAACAGGCAAACTGGTGGGGAGGGACTCAAGGCCCTCCTGGCCAAGCCCAGCCCGGGGAGGAGAAGGGAACAGCCCCAGAATCCTGGGGCACAACTCCCACCCCACAACCTCTGTGTCCACTTGGGAATTTCCCCCTGCACGGAAAAGGATGAAAAGGAAAAGAACCAAACCCCAAACCACAGCTGGAAAGGGTGGAAGGGAAAGGTTCCTGTGAAATCCCTGCAGCCAGGTAGGAAATCAGGAACTCCCAGGCCCCCAAGCTGAGAGAAGCTGGGATGTGCTGGGAAAAGCCAAGACACAGCCTGACTGGCATTCACTGCCCAAGAGCCATGAACTGCTGCTGAAAATGCACTCCCAGGACACCCAGAGCACCCCTTCCCATCTCCCAGGGACACCCAGAGCATCCCTTCCCATCTCCCAGGACACCCAGAGCATCCCTTCCCATCTCCCAGGACACCCAGAGCATCCCTTCCCATCTCCCAGGACACCCAGAGCATCCCTTCCCGTCTCCCACGAGGACTGAGCTGCAGCTGGTTGGGTTTTCCCCTCCTCTGACCAGTCCCATTTCCCCATCCAGGTCCTCTCAGCACCACCAGGTCACTCCAGCAGATGGATCAGGGAATTCTGATCCCCACCTGCAGCAGATCCCACACAATTCCTGCTCGGATCAGCCCATGGGCACCCCGACACTTCCTCAGCCTCCCAAGCACAGGGCACATCTCCCACTTCTCCCCCAGACACCTGTGACCATCCCACAGGTTCATTTTGTTCCAGTTTGGGCTGCAGGAATCGTTTAAAAGCCTTTAGAACGAACCCAACTTTGCACTTCAGAGCTTTTGACACCCAAAATGTTTCAAGCTTCCCTCTCATTCCAACAAGCTCAGCGTCACCAAAGTAAAGGGAGAAGGGTCTGTAAGAATCCCTAAACCATAGATGTGATGATTTTTTTTTACTAAATTAAAAAAAAACAAAAAAAAAACCACCAAAAAAACAACAAACCTCCCAGTACAGGTAGTTTGAAAGTGAATAATGGTTTTGGTTTTTTTTAATATATATATTTTTATATATATATATATATATATGTATACACACTACAGGACTCGAGGGAACGGCAGGAAGCTGAGTCAGGGGGAGGTTTTAGGTGGGATCTCAGGAAAAAGTTCTTCCCCCAGAGGGTGGGTGGGCACTGGAACAGGCTCCTCAGGGAAGTGGTCACAGCTCCAAGCCTGTCTGACTTCAAGAAGCGTTTGGGCAACGCTCTCAGGCACATGGTGGGAATTTTGGGGGGGGTCCTGGGCAGGGCCAGGAGTTGGACTCGATGATCCTGACGGGTCCCTTCCAGCTCAGCCTATTCTATGGTTCTATTTCTAACCCCATGCGTAGAAAGGAACAGTTAACTGCATAAATACATCATATCGTGTTAGGAATCAACTCAAAGCAACTGCCAAGCTGAATAATAAGTTAGAGAAATGACAACTCTGGCTTTATATATATATTTATAAAAATAGATATGAGTGTTCTCCAAGCAGTTGATAGAGAATCCCTACTGAGGCCGAGGGTTATCTGGCTTAAGAAACTCAGAAGATGAAAAATTTCACAGTTATTTTTAACTGCCACTTACATTCATTCTATGGCAACACGAGCATATATTAATTACTAAGATGGTTACGGAATATAATCACAATTGAGTTTTTTTCCAGTGTTCACAACTTACGACTTTTTAAATTTGTACACTTGCTA